ACAGACCCTTTAGACGCCAGGGTCAAGTTCGTCGGACTGACAACGATTCGCTTACCCGATAACGTTCCTGTTAAGTACTCACTACTCAGCGTCCACAACATATATATGTTACTATACACATAGCACATTCATATATACTTGCTTACAATTGGTAAATGTGGTTGTGGCTAAGAGTTAAGATACTGACTAAAAATAAAAAATAAAAATAAAAAAACTGAAAATGGGGGCACCACCAAAATGAAGTGGACGAAATCCGTTGAGTTTTTAATTTTGGGTATAGGTAGGGGCACCACTTCGATTCATGACCCTCCCCTTGGAGTTTTCCTGGATCCGCCCCTGGCAAGGGCTGAGTGTAATGCCCAGGAGATGACCTCCATTCGCCCCCTGACCGGTCAGTGTTATAAAATTTGAGTGGATGGCGGTCCGTTTGGGGTTCAAATGTCAATTGTATTTTGTTTCTGTCAAACAATACATGTTATGCTGGCAGCGAATGTGTGTAACGTCGGTTTTCGAAACAGAAGTTAGAACTGTAACGGCAGAGTGCTTGCTGGTCTCATCGTAAGTATTGTAAGTGTTGTAAGGAAAAGCATTGTCAATATTGTAAGTATTGTGAGCATTGATGTATGGTAGATATCACCTCACATGATCTCGGCTCAGATAACCCTCCCCGGTGTCCCTGTTAGTAAATGACACCTGGATCAATACAGATAAGATAATTTGTCATAATTCTTAAAGAATTGGGTGGTTTTGACTCGTTTACTCGAGGTGCAGGTCGCATTTCAATACTTTTCCATAGGCTTGCAATGTAAAGGTCACGACTCTGACCTAACCTCAGGTCACAGATAAAAAATTCTGAGATATACAAACGACACATACTGCAGGTACTGTTTTGAAGACTTGATGAGAGGAAATAACTTCGTGAAAATCTCAAGCTCTGACGTGTTTGCAAACTTTTCTGAGGTGGGGTCAACAAACCCGCTCTGGTTACCTGACCTGACCTGACCCGGCATTTTTTTTTTTTTTTTTGCTGAGATGTGCGCAATGAGCATTTAGGAAAAGTCACCAAATATGAGCTGAATGTCTCGCGGCGTTTGGCAATTGTACAAGAAAATCCTGAAAGGCCTCCCCGTCCGAAATAGGGTTAAAGGTAGTGTGCCACCTTTGAAAGATTTCCCATTTTATTTTTCCTAGGATAAGAAGCTTCTGTTTTTACCTAATATCGCAAAAAAAAATCAAAAATGGGCCTGGAATAGTGCCTTTTTCGCCTAAAAGTTTTTCGGTTTTTAGATATGTATAACAACTGTAGTGGGCTCACCTTCAAACAGGCGTCGGGCAACAATCGCGAATGCGGCGCACTTGTGACAATAAGCAAAGGTCATTATAGTGTTACGACCACAGGGGAGCAATGCCGCTTCAACCCTATTGGCCGTAGTGTCTAACGGTGGCGGCCATATTGCGCAGACCAGAAACCGGCTGCCGCCTGTGTTGAGGAATAGGGAATTCGGGACCTCGATTTACGTTTGCGGCCGCCGTATCCGTTACGTTCAAGTTACGTAGATACGGAACCCGGCATCTTACGCAGAATTGAGTGGGGAACACAATCGTATCTTCAGAATTCCTCAAATTCACTCGCCTGACCTACATTTGCCCCGGCCGAGGGGGTTGATTGAACCCACCTCGCTAATGCACCGCTAATTAAACTAGAATTAAGCGGTAAAGTGGTCGTATGCGGCAAAGTATAATGCAGAGTGACTGGTAGGAACCCGCTGTAAGGGTCTCAGGTCAACCGGTGACCTCTGAGGTCAGGTCAAGTGACCTAAGGCACGGGTTCGGTTTTTGGTAAATAGCTTCGCCAAAAATGGCCGTAGAGCCGCGATTTTGGCATCATCGTGTTCAGCTAGCTCAGGCGCATCGAGTGATATACTTTTTGTTCGGGTCAGGTCAACTTAGGGTGTTGACCTCAGGTCAAGGTCAGGTCAGCACCCCCAGGTCAGGAAGTTGGTCGAAAGAGGTCATGTTGCATATCATTCGATTCGGCAGGTCTTCCTGAGTCCATTGGTGGCTTTCCCGACTCGCTAGCTCAATTTGATTGGAAGTTATTGAAGAAAAATTGTGACCCTTGTGACGTCACAGATGACGTCACGCAAGGGCAACAATGCAAATATGAAGCATAGAACCTTGCAAAAAGTGCATGAAATCATGATTCTATATGCTTGAGATAGTTTCAGATCATTCTCGGCGCCAAAATAGCAATTTTCATATTTCCCCATTGACTTATAAGTGTTTAACGTATTAGTTCCTTGTAGCTGAGGATTTTTTAGGATTTCATCTTGTTCTCCACTCAATTCTGCGTAAGATGCCGGGTTCCGTGTCCACATAGCTTGAGCGTAACGGATGCAGCGACCGCAAACGTAAATCGAGGTCCCGAATTCCCTATTCCCCAGCACAGGCGGCGGCCGCTTTCTGGTCTGCGCAACATGGCGGCACCGTTGGACACCATTTGGCGGCCGATGCGCATTCCACATTATAGAGTTCAGTGGTTACGACCATACGACGTACGGGAATGAGTTATCAGCTGTCTAATCGTAGACAACACAATGTCGAGCCTTAAACTGTAAGCCCGTATTGTATTGTTTCTTTTATTTGGCTGTCGAACATTATTTATGGTTTGAAATATGATTTTATGTAAAATAATTGATATGAAAAAGCCGTCTTATAAGTTATGACCCCATTTCACCACACGCAAGTGGCAGAAATGACAATGATCAGCTGACGCATTTTTCTTGGCCGAAGTCAGAGCGCGCGGCCCGACGCACCACGCGTATTTGGAAATTCCGACCTCGACGAGCATCAGAAGCCACCTAACAGGCGTGTTCGAAACCGCAGGAGATGATGATGAACGGGTTTATCGAAACTTGATTGGATGAGCATATCGGTAATAGCGATTTCAGTGTGTGCATTTATTGTTCATAGTGGTGTGAAATGTGGTTGGGGTACGACCGACAACCCGTCGGGGCGAATTTCGCACTGGGGTACTCAAAATTTGAAGAATTTAAGACGTTTCCATGAGTTTTGAAGGTATGGATAAGTTCTAAAAATCCGGTTCTCCTTATCTGGGCCATTAACTCCATACGGTCCAAGAAAGCTGGCACACTACCTTTAATGTGTATATGAAGAGTTGCAGATGCCAAACATACCCAGATCTAAGACTGCAGTTCCCAGCGCCGCTGCAACGTTTTTAAAACAAACATACATAGGACATACAAACATGTTTATTTGCATCTGTTTTGGATAATAGCAACTCATGGCGCCATCACCCGCGATAACTGTTAGGATTTGAGATATATTTTTATTTAGGCCATTAGTTTGGCTGTAATGTTTATTAATATTAGTTGGGCGGAGTTTGGTAGTTTTTTATTTAACTTGTGGTATGTTGTGCTGATTGCGGGTTGTTCAAACCTTTCAAATGTAAGGACCTTATTGAACTCAACCCTACCCCTACACTACACTACATACGACTGGACGCTTTCCAAGCCCACAAGCATCACGACGCCGAGATGGAATGTAGCCGGGAAATCACCCTCGCCATCTGCTCTAGAGCTAATCGTGTGGGGCGGCGTGTGGGGCGCCGCTTAGCCTATGGGGGTGCACTTCTAGTGGATGGGGGATGGGGGTGCACCTGCACCCCTTTCATATGGAAAGTTACTTCCCTGATTACAGCTCCCCGTATTGCACCTAATCAGGGAACGGCCAGCAAACGAAGGAACTATTTCTGGATGACAGGCGAATAACCGCTCACGCAAGGAGCGGAGCTCCGCCCCGTCCAAAGTGGCCAACAAAGCAGAGACAGAGGCAGCATCACATCTTCCATCAAAGAACTGGTTTCTGGCTTGGAAGATGAGCTCCATCTTTGCATCCGAGTCGGTGCTGTCAGGAATCAGCTGGTCTAATGGAGTGAGAGTAGTGAGACGACTAGCTATTGTATCAGAGCTGCCTGGTCTTCGTAGCATTTGCACCGATTCTTCTCGATCGGACTCTGAATTCTGTCCCTCCTGCGTATTACTTGAGGCATTGCTATGTAGCTAAGTCTTTGGCAGAGTTTCATTATCAATGCTTTGCAAACAGTGCCATAACAACACAGTTAATTTATCACCAAGCTTCTTTGCAAGTTCCAATACAGTTGAATCGCACGCGATTTGAGTGCAAAAATCAAGAAAAGTGCCAACTTGTTCCCGTAAAATATTTTGAATATTGACCTAAAAAAATGAGTAATTTCCAGATAAAATAACAGCGAAATCAGTTTTCGCTTGCCAATAAAACTCACAGATATTGAAGCTCCATTATTAAAGGAACATTTTAGTATATGCCATTCTTGATAAAACTTCTTAGCCACGCAATACCAGCGCAAAATAGACACTGAAAACACGACCAATCACTCCGATTTACCATAGGAAAATACATAGAAAATGTATGTCTCAACTGCGCCAAATATACAGACAGTTATATACCTACATGTGACGTCATGATTAGCCCGACCAATCAGAAGCAAGTTGTTTTCAGCCACAAATAATTAATTTCTGAACTAACTAGGCATTTTTTAAACAAAGTGATTTTAAATTAAATCATTCAAAATTCTGAGCTTTTTTATTTTACCAAAACATACAGAGCATGCAGATAGGTCCCAACCCTATTGCAAACGGTTAACGATAACTTATTGATTCTCTGGAAGAAACAAGTGGAACGGATCTACTTACAAGTGGCTTATAAACAAGTGGAAGACCAATCTACTTGTGGCATGCAGTGCTTCCGAGCCAAGCTTAACCAGAAAAATCTTTTGTCGTCCGTCAAGATTTAGATGAAAAAGTGCGAGTGCAGCATTATGTGCTTCGTATAAACCGATTAATCAACACTACATTATAATAGAGCGACCTATTGTGAGACTAGAAAGCTGTAAGCTCGTTTCATGCAGCAGACGCTGGGAGCTGAGGTGGCTATCGTACGGCAGTCGCGCTCGTCGGCAGCGCTGGCGCAGTCCTGGCGGCCGTCGCAGCGCGCCGCCGCCGCCACGCAGACCCCGGCGCCGCAGGGCCACTGGTCAGCACCGCACTCTGGCACGCACACCGACAGGCAGACGACACGGGCCGGTCGGAGAGAGCACGGGATAAGATAGTAAATTATATGTAACTAGATTTCAGAGATGAGTGAATGATACTAGAGAAAAAGCAGATAGGAGAGGAAAAGACAGAAAAGGAAAGCAAGAAGAGTGAAGTAATGAAAAAGGTGTAATAATTCAAGTAATGCACAGTGATAATGAAGAAGCCATGCTAGACGTAAAAACGCTGGTATCGAGATGCTTTTTTTTTAAATAATACGTCAGATTTATACCCCACATGACGAAATATCCATTTCGTTATCATAAGATTTAAGCATTACACTGGTATGTAATCTGTGCATTCAAATTCGTACAAACATACTGAGACACTTAAACCATTTTTGAACTTTGTGCATTATTCTATTGAGCTTTTATTCAGTTGGTAAAAGTGCTTTCGTTCATAGAAAAGGGATATGACAGACAACTGATCATAAACTAAGGTAGGACTTAGACCTGACTCTTCAAACGCACACCAAGCCATGCTGAAAACCCCGGATGCGTGCAACAGGTGCAAACGTCCAACGTAACGACTCGGCAAGCCGCCACAGTGACTGTTCAGAGACGTAACACACGGCCCACGGCCGGCAAGCTCACACAGATCGGTGAATTACCTATGTACATTTATCTAGATACGCGGGTCTCGTGGCAAACTTAGACTTGATACTTCTACGGACTTGGCGATTGAATATTATAAGCGATGAATTATCCCGATGACTATCTAAATGAACACTTTAAATGTTTTCGGAATCCACAATAATAACTGGGGCATTCCACGATAGATCGTACCAAGCCCGTCACCCTCATCTCTCAGATTTTAATGAAAATCGGTCCTAGGGGTAATCATAGGCCCCGAAGACGCCTGGCAAAATATCAGACTTCTCGGATCAAAACTTTTTGAGTTATATTGCATTACATTTTTTTAACTTCGGTATGTAACGGTGAGTTTGATGGCCTATAACTCAAGAACGGGTTAAGCAACCAACAAACAGTAAACAACACTAAGCTTGCGATAAATCAAAAATTAATATTACTATTTAAAAATTCCAAAGAAAAAATTTCATTGTTGAGCAAAAACCTTAATCTTTTTTCATTTGCCTCTAATGACTTTTGGGACCAAAATTTTTTACATTTTTATTTTTTAAAAATAAACTTCATGTCATTACAAATCGACATGCAAAAAATTAGAAAGGTGTTCTTTCTATAAGTTCCTCATTTTCCCGCAAACAAAATGGGTTTCGAAGGGGTTGATACGACCCCAGCACGCCGTTTCGCTTCTAATAGAGCTAGAGCCTCGCGGAAAAAACGAGCGTGTGTGCCGTTACAAGTCGCAACGATTGGTACCCGATTTTAAGGTCTTAGGTTAACCGGTAGCGTCTGAGGTCAGGTCACGTGACTGAAGTTCCGGGTTCGGTTTTTAGTAAATAACTTCGCAAAAAATGGCCGCAGAGCCGCGATTTTGGGATCATTGTGTTCGCCTAGCTCAGGTGCATCGAATGGTATACTTTTTGCTAGGGTGAGGTCAACTTAAGTAGTTGACCTCGGGTCCAAGGTCAGGTCAGAGCCCCTCAGGTCACGAAGCTGGGCAAAGGGTATCATATGGCATATCATTCGATTCGGAAGGTCTTCCCGAGTCCATTGATGGCTTTCCCGACTCTCTAGCTCCATTTGATCGGGAGTTATTGACGGAAAACTCGTACGACCCTAGTGACGTCATAAATGACGTCACGCAAGGTTAACAATGCAAAAGTAAAGCATTGGACTTTGCAAGGAGTGCATGAAATCACGATACCATGTACGTTGGATAGTTTTAGATCATTCTCGGCGCCAAAATAACAGTTTTCTATATTTCCCCATTGATTTATAACAGTGATGTCACGTGACCGACCTGACCTCATGTAACCTTGAAAAATTCCCAGATATACAAGTTGTGAGACCTCTGGAGGACACCATGTATGCGTCCTGTAACTTTCATCTCGGACAGCTATGGTCATTGGCGTCCAAAACAATGTCAGAACCAAACAGCCTTTTTCACCCTCGCGCTTATAGGAAAGAGGGTTGGATGAACCCTCTTTTCACTTTTTTCAGATGACTTAGACTTAAATTGAAATTGCAGTAACCCGTGATGTCACTAGGCAGCTTTACCACGCCATTTGTAAGCTTCCCTCCCGAAATCGCTATTCGAAACCGTTATCGTGACGTAAAATAAATACATTTATAGAAAGAACACCTTCCTAATTTTTTGCATTCTTCTTAACAATGAGCCAAATATTTTTTTAAAGAAATAAAAATTCAAAAAAATTTGGTCCCAAAGTCCAAAAAATACAAATGAAAGAAAACTCGATATGTCATATATCAAAAATAGCGTATTTTTCGAAATTTCAAAAATACATATTAATCTCTGTTTCATTGCCAGTTCAATGCTATATAACATTTGGCATTTGAATAATCCGTCTTAGAGTTACAGCCCGCCAAACTTAGCGCTGCAAAGCAAGATCCAAAAAATGTTATACACCATAACTAAAAAAATACTTATCTGATAAGCCTGACATTGTTACAGGTGGATTCAGAGCCCCTGATTACCCCTGAGACCATTTCTCGTCAAATTCCGAGAGATGAGGGTGTCAAATTGGAAAAAAGTGGTACGATCTATCGTGGAATGCCCCAACTTATAATTAGTAGCGGTAAGAGAAGGGCACAGGCCCTGTTACACCGCTGGTTTTAGTGCAGTGGTGTGCACATATATGATTATCCAACTTGTTTGTGTTTTTGCATCTGCTCGCTAAGAATCCTTGCTGCTGTACACGGACCACCTCTCTTTGACTACTGTGAATGCATGCCTACCACTCGACCCCAGCCTCAGAGAGCACTGCGGCCTACTGTCCGCTCCCCCTCCCCCGACTCACCGCAGTCTCTCTCGTCGGCGCCATCACTGCAGTCGTTGAAACCGTCACACTTTCGGCGCAGATCGACGCAGGACCCGTCCCCGCAGCGCAGCTCCAGCGGCGAGCAGGTATCGGCTGCGGCGGGGCGGTGGCCAGACAGGCACGGGCGAGGTCAGACACGGACAAACAGACGGACGAACAGATCGACAGACCAGACGGACGGTGGGTTGGGTGATTCAGCTGGCTAATACGATAATGCACGATGCATTACGCATGTGCAGCCCAGTCATAAAAACACTGCACGGTTGTACGAGGCGTGATCGGTCAGCTTGATGCCCTGATGTGGCAGGGCCCAACTATCGGCCTCGAACGTCGAAGGATCTAGCGGCCGGCCACGCCCAGTGTCGGAAACAACACCGAACTGTCAAATTGGATAGCGCTCGAAAACAACTACAACGATGTAGTACTTTCAGGGCAAATGCCTGCAATTGACTGACAGCCCTGCACGCCCAAAATGTGTATCAGCTAGTGGTCACCCCATCCCCTGGGTCGCTGCAACAATATTGCACAAAGGGCTGGATTCCGTGCCTAGTCTGACGGTTGGGACGCCGTACCGGTCGGGGGACGGCGACAGACCCTCATCACTTATATCTACTCCACAGTCTAGACACAGGGTTAGCGAGTATTCCATGACCGTGAGCGAGTCTGGGTACGGGACACTGTCACCACAAGGCTTCCGACGGCGGTCACCGGAGCTGGACGACAGGACTTTATCATAAAGGGTAGCACCTGTCACAGAGGGTAGAGTTACCAGGCGCGGCTTACCAAGCCACAGTGCTCTACCTTTGTGACCGGACCGTGCGGCTTTTTTCCCGCTACGCATGAAGGCATCACAAAAGTACTAAACAACGTCAAATGATACATGAACTTAATGCTCCAGCAGCTTTCCTACAGCAGTTTTGTCCGCTGTAGCTAACAGATAAATAAACACCTGTTGCCTCGACAGTCGACAATTCATTTATGTGGAAACAACAAAGTCGTACCTGTATTACATATTGTAAAGAATAACAACGCCCTTCACACAGGATAAGCGTAACAAAAACAGATAGTTAGTTATATATACAAATGGTAGCCACTACTAGGTAGCAAAGCAGGTGAGGTGCAAACGTTGATCACATAGTAGGCGAAATGCTACTGCCGTTCTGTGAAAAGCTGGAGCCACATATCAGGCGCACATAAAACCGAACGAACATTTAATGACACTCGACAGGTGGATGGCATCACTACTAAGCTTGTAAGGCTTGTGAGACAGCCGCGGCTAGTGCTCCTGGTCGAGGTGTGAGAGTGATACCAACAGCTATTCGCTGAGACATCGCGGTGATGTGGCCACTGGCAAAGCAGTACAGGTGATGCCGAAGCGACTGTTACAGCAACTGCTTCATGATAGGGAAGTGCGAGGTGGGTGAGGAGAGGAGAGCGAGTAATCTGTGGCTTCTAGCTCAGAGGTGCGGGGATAGCCGTGGCTATTGACCGAGTAGTGCGGGGATAGCCGTGGGTAGTGGCCGAGGGGTGCGGAGTATAGCCGTGACTAATGGCCGATGAGTGCAGGGGACAGCCGCTGGCTACTGCCAGGTGAATCTGAGTGCTGCAGCGGTGGCTATACGGGCCCGGAGTGCAGGGGACGCCCAACTGCCGGCCGGGCGGTGCAGGGGTAGCCCAACTGCCGGCCGGGCGGTGCAGGGGACGGCGCGGCTGCCAACGGGCGGTGCAGGGGACGCCCGACTGCCGGCCGGGCGGTGCAGGGGACGGCGCGGCTGCCGCCGGGCGGTGCGGTGCGGCGCTGGCCCGCGCCGGTGCGGTGCCGTTTGCCGCTGGCGGAGGCCTCTCTCAGCCGTTATGTACAGTAGCGGCGCGGTGCTGACTGGCGGGCGGTGATCGCAGACGCCGGTGCCACATCGAACTACGGGTGTCAGCCGGAGGCTGGTCACTCACTGCGCGAGCCGCACTGGCTCTCACTCTCGTCGGAAATGTCGCCGTCGGGACAGTCGCGCACGCCGTTGCACTTGAGCCTTATGTCGATGCACTGTCCGTCGTCACATTGCCACTGATCCGCTCTGCACGCTGGGGTAGAGCGGCAGGTGTTATACGGTGTTACCACCGACGTCACATCGGCTTCACATCACTATCTCATCGGCTTAGCCGTGCCGCAGTAATTTTCGCTCACTGCTACGTAGCAAGAAATGTAAAAACTTGCATTTCCGATTGAATTATCCGAATTAAATAACCAGATCTCCAATGGTATGTGAAATGTGAATACCTAGCTTGTTGAAAAAGACCAATGACTAGAGGTGTAAGTGATCCCAAAATCTCAGTGAGATCCCGAGTGGCCCTTCGGGTCTTGTCCGCGCGTTTGACCCCGGGACACTTACGGCAGCCCATCTCATCGTCCCCCTGTGGACAGTCTCTGCGACCGTCACACCGCTGCGACATCGGCACACACTGCAGCGAGCCGGCGCACGTGAACTCGCGCCGCGCCACGCACCTCGGGTTGGCTAGAACACAGGCGACTGAGGTCAGAACGGCAGAGGCGGCAGGACGTCTCATCGGCAGTGGTAGAGCCAGCACAGGACGGCGGCAGCCGACAGCCGCTGGGTAGTGCAAAGGTACGCAGATAATATGTAATGACCACAGCCCGCAGATAATCATGACTGAGTTCCATGGCGGGACATGAATTGTTGCCAGTTGTTGATAACTCATACGCATAATAAGTATGTAGGTCTAACTAAATGCGCTATGCACCAGGCCATGAGCGAGATGTGGCTAAAAAAAGTAGTCAATCAATTTTAAGTAACTCATGTCTGGATCGGATCTAGAAGTCGCTGGCACTGCTTTCTGTAATTCAATTCACCACTATCACTTCGAGAGGCCGAGCCGTTTTTTTTTTCCACCGATACGGATTCTCGAGCCGCGGGCCGAGGGACAGGAGCGGCGCTAACACAGGCGCCCGTCCGCAGGGAAATCGCCGACAGTCATCAACTCGCATTATCGGCGAGTGACGCGCCGCGTTAGCCCTGTTTGTAGCGACTGGCAGACTGAAGGGAAAAAACAGTCTGCTAGCGGAAGACACCCATCTCCACCGCTTCAGCTCGAGTTAAATCGAGGCAAGGGTCCGCCGGTTACCGTGGCGCCAGCTGAGCTCTGACTGAGCAGGAGTGATGAGATCAGGTCGGCGGGGCACGCCCCCTCTCAGCACGAGCCTCGGTGAGGGAGGCGCCGGCGGTCACCGGCTCAGCCGCCCGTCCGAGTGGGAAACGGTGTCGATGGGCTCGAAATACAGAGAGGGCGGGGAGAATGAAAGCTAGTTTCATATTACAGGACGTCGAGTTTCCAATCACACGTGAGAAACTTGACCTAAGTTCACCAAGTCACGAGATCATTTGACGTGAACGTCTGCAGAAACGGCTTCCTTGAAAAGAATCAAACGCATGAGATGTACTGTTTGAAAGAAATCAGCTCGACCCAGCTGCTCTATAGAATCCCCAGTGAAACCTATTCTCACTGCATTGTATATGTATATTCAGGATTTTTTACGAAAATAGAATGGGTATAAGGCATGCAACATCGCGTTGGTCATCAACCAGTCGGCGATATGCTTACGCTTAGGATAGAGACGCAGGAATGCAAGGCCACCGGACACTGCCGCGTGCTCATTCATTCCAGATCGCTCTAGTCACAGAATGGGAGTGGGACGTGGGTAGGTACTGCTGCGTGCAGCAGTTCTGCACCATTGGAGCGCTCAGGTCACCGGGTCAGTGTGCCGAGCACGGACACCGGACCGGCTCCGGTGGCATCGCGGCGCAGTGCGCACGTGCCACGCACTGAGCGTCCAATGTTTGGCCTGTTTCAGGAACGGAATAGCCACCGGCAATTCACCCTGCAGAATCTTCTCACGATGGCACTGGACCGATTGGAAAGACAGATATGGACAGGAAGACAGCTGGACTGGAAGGATACCTATAACCAAAAGAGGATGTGGATTGTAACCTATCTATTGTGGACTGGACAGAGATTGGACTCGAATGAGTTATAGCGGAGCATTCTCACGCCACGGATCCGCGCCGCGCTGTGAGCAGAGGCGCTGAGCGAGCGACATCTGAATAGGACGGCGGCGCCGGCCCGGTCCGGTTACAATGGAGCCAGCCGGACACCGGACACTGGCAGACGCCGCCCGAGGGCCAGTCGCTGAGTCACCGCCGACGGCGGGGGGCGGTCGACTCCGTCAGACAACCCACGAACAGAGTCCAGCAGAAAACCGACAGGCAGCTGCAGGTGACCCCATCAGAGACAACCAGTGGGCGGCGGTCGACCTGTCAGATAACCAGTGGGTTGTGGCAACTCCATCAGAGACAACCGACGAACGGTAAAGTCCATCAGAGACAGTCAGCGGGCAGGACCGACCCCATCACACAAACAACGGGCAGCAGAGCACATTGATGACCGGCAGAAAATCACCGGTAGCGGCTGACCTCATCAGAGACAACCAGTGGACAGCGACCGACCTGTCAGAGACACGAGTGTGGGCAGCGGCCGACACCATCATACAACTAACGAATGTCAAAGTCTACCAGAGACATCAGAGACATCAGACCGACTACATCAGAGACAACCAAATGGCAGCGGCTGACCTGTCAGAGACAACCAGTGAGTAGCGGCCAGCCCCCCATCAGAGACAACCAGTGCACACTGGGCCGATCGCCAGGTCTAGCACGACATGGGTAAACAAATCGAGCTTTGTGGATGTGCAATGAAACCTATACCAATTTGTTCAAAAATGATCATACTACATTTCTGTGGACTTTGTTTTCCAACACAATTGCTATTTCATGGCGACAACTCAGCTTAAACACGAAGTTCGGAATCGTTTGGACCGAACTCGTCCCCCGCACTCTTCGACAACGTATCTTTGATCCACGAAAACAATCACAATTTGAGGAGGAGTTCCACATTTATATACATCAAACGATAGCTTCGGGTCTGCAGAACACACATAACTACATGAAAATGGCGAACTCTTACTTGGTTATGATGTATTGGCACCGCAAAAACTTAAAGACGAAAATATAATTTCACATAATTGATGTACACACAAATAGACTTTTAAAAAAAGTACCGCAAAGTACCGCTTCGAAAATCTCGCTACATGTCAATGATTCATTGCACTACAAGATCCAACAGTCATTTTTTGCGACTTTTTGCGACTTTGGATGTAGCAGCCAAACATCAACCCGCGCCGGACCGGTGCTCGGCGTCAGACGCGCCGGGCCGGGAGGTGTTGATTGAACACTCCCCTTCTAACTCGGCTCTTGGGCCACATAGCGACACGTAGTAAGTGGCATTCGAAAGAGCGCCCGAAATTCCAGATGGAGTATTTAGTCATTTCTAGGTCAGGTCAAAGGTCACGTCACCAGAGGTCATCAAAGGTAAAATGTTGCATATATCAACATTTCTCGGAAACCGGCCCTTACCTCGGGGACCAATAGAGCTACATCGTCGCGGAAAAGTGCATTCAATTGCTCTTTTAGCGGTCTTTCTGAAATAGGCCCTCAGAATTGGCTTAACCCTCGCCCCTAGTGGTGTTTTTCCAGCCGGGAACGTATAGAAGGGGTCCGTTGGACCCCCCGCCGTTTCGCCCCTGATCGAGCTAGAGCTTCGCGGAAAAGACGAGCGTGTTGCCCGTGACAAGAGGAAGCTGATGGTACCCAAGTGTAAGGTCCTAGGTCATCGGTTGACCTTCCAGGTCAGGTCAATGACCCAAATGTCGGGAAAATCGGGACCTGTTAGAACGTCGTAAAGGGTGGCTGCTATGGGTTTTTTTTTTTTTTGGGTGCTGATCACGAATATAATGTTATTTACGATCATAGATGATGTCTTCATACATTTAGGCCAGGTCGGGTCAGGTCAGGTCAGGTCAACCAGTAAGGGTTTTGCCGGGTATTTGCAGTAGGTGGCAACCGCCTCTGACAGCTTTTTAACATGTTACGAAGGCACCAAAGCTACATAGTAAATGTTCAAGTGGTTGCTAGATTCGAATTCAGCTCCAAAAACTAGTCTAGAAACATGTAAAACTCGAAAAAGTGAACCAAGGTCATAAAAGGTCAATGACCTTACCTGACCTTCTGGTGACCTTGACACCCGCCCTAATGCATGGGAGCAACATAATATCCCATGTTTGAACGCTTTAAACCAAGAAAAGACTGCAAACCCGCGGCTAATGCGAGCCGACATACGCTGAATCGCGATTCCGGCCAAACATGGTCTCGAAAGAAGGTCACAGGTCAAAGATCATTAAGGTCAGGGTCATGAAATTTTCAGGTTAGCTGTAAAAGTAGTTATCGCGAGGTTACTGAAAGTTTCGTTGCGATCGGCCGCTTTTTACGCGAATTACTCGCGAAAAACCAAGGGTTCCGTTCGAAGATTCAGGCCCTGTCGCGCTAGAATGGCATATCGGCCCACTGTGCAGTGGCTAGCTGCCGATCCCATCAGTCAACGCAATAGGCAATGGCCGACCCCGTCAGACAACCAACGGATAGCAGAGTCCATCAGAGAATGGGTTCAGAGACTGGAGGCGCGCGGTAAAACAAGACCCCTTCTAGCACTCACGTGGGCAAACTGACTTCCAGTTTCGCGAACATCTTAATTGCTATTTAAAACATCAATTGAATGAAAAATACCTATGCTGGTTTAGCAATGCTTGCCAGAGTAGAATATCTTACGGCTATGATAACTGATCAGATGAAACATGCTATCTCCAAATGTAGGCATAAATAATAGTGGACAAACTATTCAATATTCAAAGGCATGCGGCACTTCTCGTAGTTGATTAGAAATCTTCGCCATTTAGCCGTGATTTCTCATCAAGAACACGGAAGAGAAATCACTTGATGGGGATTATGGTGCTAATAGTTGAGACCCTCAGTCATCCTTGGATAAATGGCCACTGATAACGTCGCCCACACTACTACCCACGCGGCGTCTTTTATTTAGTACGATCGGCGGGCAGCCGAGCTCGTCCCACGGGTGCCGCCCATGGAGTGTCGATAACCTTAACGGAAACACTGGATACAAACGCTGGAAACATTGGAAGCATAAGTTCTCGCGAGGGAGCAAGCTTGGGATTGATCTCGAGCGTGAGGTTCATCGAAGAAACAAATAAATGACCACAAGTTTGCCATTACATAGGCGCTAGGCATAGCGTACGTTGATAGTCAAAATTTATTATTCAAAATAAACGAAAGTAGAAACTATCTTGGATTTTTAGTTATTCTTAGAATCTAGGTACCTATAGGTATCATAAAAATGAAATGCTTGAACTGCATGTGGGATGTTCACTTTATTTAGCACACCTTAATCATCTATTGGTGGCAGAAGGCTCCATAATGGAACGGAGGGATACTTACACTCATAGCTAATTACATCAAACTAAACTTAAGCACTGGAAGCGTGTTCGATGCACAAAAACCTTATAAAGCTAATAAATAGGTATTTGATAACCGCTAGTAAACTCATCAGTTAGCTTGAAAGGAAGTGTGATAGCACGGCAAAAGTAACTGGATGATGAGAATTAGGATAAATGAGGTTTAATAATGGGGATAAATGGGGTAAAAAAATCATTTTTCACTTTTCATAAGTTGTCGCTGGAAAATGCTGGAAATATTTGAAGTTGAATGGAATAGTGACTATAAGCAATATAAGTACAATCAACAATTTCAATTACCCAATGTGCCGATAAATTGCATGCAACTCATATACGTTACATTGTATCATAACATTATGAATGAAGGGCAAGCGGCAAGTAGCGAAACAGAGAAATGGCGACCAGAATAAAGCACAATAACTGCATCAGTGACCTTGCAGCAATCTGAAGCCTCGTCGGAAGTCTCAATTATGACCTAGGTTTCTATGTAGCATATTACTCAGTGGAGGCCATTCCACTCATACCGTTCAGTTGAGGGGTTGGCCGTTCCACTCATACCGTCTGACGGAGGGCATTGGCCGGTCCACTCACGGTCGAGTGTGAGCTGGGCGTGCAGTCCGGCGGACAGGAGCAGCAGCAGCGGCACGGGCGTCCACATGGTCGCCACCAGATCCGACACGAGACACCGGGCCGACGGCGGCGACACGGCGGCGGCGGCGCGTCCTATCGCCAACGGCGCCCGGCACACACTGACCGAGTCGAGCTGACCGGCTCACACTGGACGGTCGGGCACGGGCGGGACCGCCGGCCGTCCGGCTGAGGTCCTTCTCACATACACAAATATCTTTCTACATGGCTCACCATACCGATTCACAAGACCGCTGCTAACGCATTCCTTTCATTGCAGAATAGTTGAAAGCAAATTCCAGCGCAACTCTGATCCGTGATATGCAACTCTGACATGGGTGGTCCATTAACATCTTGGCATTATCCATAAGAAATAATAATAGACGAGAGCAAGCCAGAAATGGACAGCACTTTCATGATCCGAAAAGGGTTGCCGTTATTTGTACGAAAAATGCCAATCCTATGTCAGCTCACTTTGAACTTATCTTATTTTCGATGGGCAGATTTAAATGGTGTATTTGATATGCATCAACTAGGTTCTAAGTAGTCGGCTCTTAGTTATCATGATTGTCTGGTGTTAAAAATCGACCAGAATAACGTTGTCTATCCGAAAGGTAAGTCAATGCTGAATGCTGCTAGTATCTTATACGATCTGTTACCAGTAAAAGAGATGGATTAAGCTATCGCCAGGCTAGTCCTACCGTCATATGGCTTCTTTTAGCTTTGCTCGCCCGCAGTGGCAAATAGTCCAACATTCCTCCATCGTAATCGTATAGGCAGGGGTAAGGGAAATCCTCCGCCACTGAGTATCCCGTCATTGGGTATCATGTGAGGACATGCGACCTTTCGCCGTCTCTCTCTCTCTCTCTCTCTCTCTCTCTCTCTCTCTCTCTCTCTCTCTCTCTCTCTCTCTCTCTCTCTCTCTCTCTCTCTCTCTCTCTCTCTCTCTTTCTCTCTCTCTCCCTCTCTCTCCCGTTGCCGGGCGCGCACCGGAAGCGGCGCTCAGGTGCTGACGGATGACGGCGGGCCGGCGTGCAGGTCACGGCGGGACTGGCTCGACAATAAACAGACCCGGCCGGCGCCGATCGGGGCGACGACACTGTGCACGCATGCCGACACGCCCTGACTGAGCAGCCGAGATGCAGCAGCCGCCGGTGTTGCTGCGGTGTTCCAATGGCACGGGTCTGACAGGAGGACTGCCGTTTAAAGCAGCGAAGCAATGAGGTAATCTACACAGGTTCAGGCACAGATTCACAGGTTCAGATTGTGGTAAATGAACACACATCCGGTGGCGCCCTGGATGCTGGTCAAGCGGTGGTCCGCGTTCGCTCCGGCGGCCGGTGGCGGCCTGCGGACAGTAGTAGCCCACTGAAGGCCTGCTAAGACGTCGCTGCGAGGAAGGAAGGCGTCGCTCAGCATACGGCACGGCCTTTCCGGCTCGTCAGCAGTGGTCAATATTTGATTATTCTGTTCCCGGCAAGGACAAGTGGACCGTCCATTGTCAGCCTCTGTCTGAAGGGCGCTCAGCCGAGCGGCCGCGTCGGTGAGAATGCCCAATACTCATGGCGGCCTGTCGATCGCCCCGGCCCTGCGCTGCAGAGTCGGCAGAAATCCCGCCCTTGGACCACGAGAGATACTCTCTGCAAGCCGCCTGGTACGTCAATCAGTGCTCTCTCTCTCCTCTCCTCCCTCTCCTCCTCTCTCTCTCTCTCTCTCTCCTCTCTCTCTCTCC